AGTGCCGCTGGCGAAGCACCAGTTGGATGTGTGCTGTTAATGGGCTCCCGGTGAGAACCCGAGCCGCCACATTCTTCCCCTCTTCATCAACTATCCTTCAAATAAAGAACCTCCTGGCTACCTTACCCTGAATGTGGGGACACGTTTTAGAAGTATGACCTGTTGCAGCCATGTAAATCCAGACGGGAGTTTTCCAACCTTCTGTTTGGGTCAAAGTACACGTTAGGTTTCACACAAGTGCCAAACACTGACTAGCAGCCATCTTGCACCTGCAGGTCCTCGGTGCCATCTCAGCATTTAGGTTCTAGAACATGATGCAGGTGGAGGAGGAAGGAGCCCATTCTCCCCCTACACCATCGTCATGATCCTAATCTGGCCCCTGCGGTGCTTTTATATAGAGTTGCCAGCGGCAAGTTTACAGCTGCAAGGCCCTGTGGAGAAGTCCCTTTGTACATTAGTTAGAGTGTCCCCAGTTTTTTTTGTGGAAGAAGGAAACCTTTTGATAATTAAGCACCTTTTACTAATTGATAGCAAAGCTTTCCAGTGAGGCTGACTCCCAACCGAAGGCTAATTCAAAGTGTTGGTAATCACCTTCAAAGCCTTATCCGGACTAAGGGACTGCCTCTTCCCATATACGCCTCGAAGAGCGTTACACTCTGTGAACGGTTTCACACAAGAGCTGCGCCGCACCCGCACCTCCCTTTGCCCCGCTTCTAGTGGTCAATTTCCCACTCGAAGCCGGGCGGCCGCATTTTGACCTGCGGCTTTGCCCAATTTCTACCGCGGTTTCGTATTCCTCAAAAAACAGGATCACGAAGACGAAGAATTCTTTGCAGATTGGATGGATTTTAAAGAATATCTAGAGAAATATTGGGATGTTAGAAACAATTTATTATGCTTTAATAATTATTAGGAATAGAATGAGTAAAGAGTTGAACAGAAGTTAATGGTAGTTAAAGAAATGTTACCTATAAGATAGATGATAAGAGAAAGATAGTTAAAATAATAGTTACTTATTAAACTGTGGTTTAAGAGAAGGATTAGATAAGAAAGAAATTTGGCAGGGGTGGGATCGCTGCGGGAAGCCTGGAGAAGGGGAGGGAGGGAAGAAGGGGAAAGGGCTACATTGGAAACACGGGAATGTTAGAATGTTGGACATGTTGTTACAGCCCGATAATAAAATGGTTTTTTTGGGGGGGGGGGAACAGGATACTTGGGATGTTAGAAACAATTTATTTCGCTTTAATAATTATTAGGAATAGAATGAGTAAAGAGTTGAACAGGCTAATGGTAGTTAAAGAAATGTTATCTATAAGATAGATGATAAGAGAAAGATAGTTAAAATAATAGTTACTTATTAAACTGTGGTTTAAGAGAAGGATTAGATAAGAATAGAAATTTGGTAGGGGTGGGATCGCTGCGGGAAGCCTGGAGAAGTGGAGGGAGGGAAGAAGGAAAAAGGGCTATATTGGAAATACGGGAATGTTATAATGTTGGACATGTTGTTACAGCCCGATAATAAAATGGTTTTTTGGGGGGGGGGGAACAGGAACACGGAAACGCGTGGGAAA